AGTCAACTTTTGTTCGAAAAATGGACAACGATGTTCTTACTACGCTGAAGATCTTGATTATTGGAGAAAGCGGCGTTGGAAAATCCAGGTAATGTAATTTAAACCGTTGCTACATATTTCGGAAGCCATTGACTCCGAACCAACGAACGAGTGTCATAACAGAGGATCATTGTAAATCGAATTATATTCACATCTTCAAAATTGTACATCAATGCGTGGTTACAATGCGTGATTGTTTTGCTGTAGTCTTTCATGTGACAAATCACTGTCGATCTCAACCCGGCACACAACTGAGTTAATCAGTGTGTGCTCATCGTCATTGTAAACTTCTTTATTTAAATGCTGTCTACTTCTAATCACAGCTTGCCTCTAAGATTCACTGATGACACATTTGATCTTGATATTGGAGCCACTATAGGTAAGAGTTAAAGATATAAGACTACATTATATATAAAATGAACAAAATGAAGTAATTTTGAAACAATCAAAATGTTGTGGTTTCATATAGGTTTGTATTTTCGCTAGCTTTTTTGTACCCTGCCTCGCAGGATACTTACTTCATAGAGGTGTTGATAAAAAAAATAAAGAAAACACTAGCGGCCATTCATTTATCATTTCAATGCCTCAACCGTTTTAACCTTTTAAGAGTTATTGACATCTAGTTTCTCCTAACATTATCACTTCTGAACCAAACATCAAGTCTATGAGAAGAACAGAAATGATCACAAACTGAAGAAATGCTTGATTGTAAAACAAATTCTCCTTGTCAGCCCCTCAGAGAACAGTTTGGAGAATATGCATACTAATGTTAGGATGCAGGGGGTTAATTACAAGATAGAGAAGTTTTTGCACCTTTGTCATTTCCTTTTAGGGGATAGGAATCATTTGATCCTTTCTATTCTTTCCATGGCTGTAGTTACACTATGCAGTCAACTCTCTGGTAAGCAGAGACCTTTGCGAATTGAAAAATAAAATGTCAGTCAGTAGAGCTCTCCACCTATGATTTCCCATATTTCCTTAAGCAGACACAAAAGAAAACAAGGGTTGATGTCTGCATTTGGGAGATTTAATTAGCAGGTGTTAATTACATGTTTTATTGGACAAATGGAGATTTGATAAAACAGATCCCCACTGTTCTGTTGCTCTGTCAAGGGTCATATTTCTGTTGATTTACAAATTTAAAAACAAATTTCGTTTTCCACTCTTGTGCTTTGTAATCTGCACACAAGATAAATGAACGTATTGATCTATTCATGCTTTTACCTTTTTCAGTATGCTGTATGGCCAGCTTCTAAGTAATGTTTAGGGCTCAGTTCCTTAAACCTTGGAAAACACTACCAACCACCTCATTATCAATTATTTTCACACGACTTTAATGTGGTGTATTTGGAATAAAATATTTCGTGGGACTTAAAATTCACAGTTTTGATGAATCACTGTTTTTCAAGGTAATTAAATTTTGCAAATCAAGCAACTGGTGCTGGTTTTTTAAACTTCCATTTCTGTTTTTTTTTTTTTTTTAATCATGACGGAATAGAAACCTCAAATGCAATAAAAGACTGGCTGAAATGTTCGACAATATCAGCAACTTAGTAACATCTTTTAAAAGGGCTGATACAAGCAAGATAAGTCCGATGATGAGGAATAGGGTATATATTGAACTGTAATTTGAGCCGTCCTACTTGTATGTAAACTCCTAGCAGACGGAAAGCTTAAATAAAGGATTATATGAAGGTCTCTAATTTTCACTTCTTTAATTTTTGCAGCACCTTTTTTTCGCAGGACTTTAATTTCACAAATTTTCTTAAATTGTGCAAATCGAGTCTCTGGAAAATAAGTTATAATAAGGTAAATACCTTGATATCTGGTCAGCAGCATAACCTGTTGTGTTATCAATTAGCAGTTAATGGAGTTTATACATGTAGTGCTGTCTAACTTGAAATAACACTGTCCAGCCTAAATCATTATGGCACCAGGTCATCAGTACTATGTACTATGATTAAAACTAAATTCTCAACTGTTTCCATGGAAAACAATCACTCGATGTTTAATTAATGTGTCAACATATTTTCCTATAAATCGTGTAGCCACTGTTTTCCAGGTAACCTTCACCATGCATATTCTCCATTTTGTTCTCTATATATTTCCTAAGGGAGAATTTCTTTTCCAAGCAAGAGCATCTATTATTGGTGATCATTTCTTTTATTCTCCTGACCTTAATGTGTGATTCAGGGGTGATATTGTAAGGAGAAATGTAATAGTGGTCACTCTGAGGGCCTAGGATCTATTTCTGTTATTGCATGACATGTGATCTCTATTTTAGGGTTGTTATTTTGTGGAAATAATTATTGTGGAAATAATTATTGTTTATATCATTCTGGTCTGGAATGACAACAACATTTTCCTTTTTGTTTTTTTTCACTTTAATTTTTTTTTTCAATTTTCGAACAGGTGTTGACTTCAAAGTTAAAACTTTGACTGTGGATGGAAATAAAGCTAAACTAGCAATTTGGGTAAGAACTGCTCTTGGTGAACAACAAGGACACAATTGTAATTCATAATTTTATGTGACAGCCTTGGGACTGGGTTGAATAGTCCAGATAATCACAAAATTATATGGATATAAATGAGCCAAGACTATTTAAGAATTGTTTCATGCTTAGCATGCGTATATCAAGTTATGGATGCACGCAGGGAGTTTGGAGAGCATGAGAGAAGCGTAAGAGTTGCTCGAGGCGCAGCCGAGAGCAACTCTAGCTTCTTGAGTGCTCTCCAAACTTCCCAAGTGCATCTATAACTCGATATATGCACAGCTAAAAGCATGAAACAATTCTTTTATAACATACAAAACAATTTGGGTGCTGAATGACGTTTTTGTAATGTTTTTT